AATGGAAAAGGTATGAAAAAGTTCTTTTGATAATTTCAGTTTTATTTGGCTAAAATAAATAAATAACATGATATTGAAGAGATGCTCAGAATCTTCAGGAATAAAAGGTCATTTCAATAAGGTGGAAATGTTGTGCGGTATACAATAACACAGTAGAACATTCTTACTATATTCTGTTTTAATATGTAAATGTAAAAATTCATGGCACATTCGAACAGTACAAAAGAACAGCATACAAAGCTGACGATACAACATACATCCCCTTGCTAATCTGGTGATTACAAGATTTTCAACTTCATATTTTCAATTCAGCTGAAATAAAGTTCAGAATAATGTACCTCTTAAATCAAAAAGGTATATAGGCATCAACATTGTGCTTTTTTATTCTCCATACATAGAATTTAGAACATCATCCATTTTGACATTCAAAAATAAATAATGACATCAGATTAACACAGGCAAACTTTTCTTATCCCATTCTATCTTACATTAAGATTTCATAGAATTATCCAAGTGCAAAAAAAGTCATGTGATGCAGTCCATTCACACCACTTTCCCAAAATATGGATCAGTGCCACCAATGTTACAACCATAATTTTTCCTCCTATAAACCACACCCAAAAATGCATTTGTCAGCATGGCAAATCTTTAGTATTTTACCCAACAACAACATTTAACTCATAGCAGTGTTAACATATGATTTACTTCACTTCATGTGAAATATAATGATGTACCATGCAACACTAAAACAAAATTTCAAACTAACTACCATTGGCACTTTTGCGTATTTATTGTACTGATCAATAAGGAATGTTAGCTGAAGGATATAGAATTTTATGCAGTATCATATGCATCTGATAATTATGAAGTCACAACCAATCTTTTACAGACATTTGGTCATTTACAGTAATGTTTACATGGAAATATATGTATAACTTGGAAATTCATACATTTCATTTGGAAAATATCTTCCTTTCAAGGAAAATAAATGCACTGTGTGTGTGTGTGTGTGTGTGTGTGTGTGTGTGTGTGTGTGTGTGTGTGTGTGTGTGTGTGTGTGTGTGTGTGTGTGTGTGTGTGTGTGTGTGTGTGTGTATGTATGTATATGTGTGTATGTGTATGCGTATGTGTGTGAGAGAGATCACACCATGAACACCTGGTGCATTTCATGAAGAAAAATACTTGAAAAAAAATTGAAAAAAGGGTAAATTTACAAGCATTTACAAGAATCATATACAAACGTAACTATAAGACCCAATTCTGAAGCCTCTTTTTATATAAAAGTAAAAAGCAACCAAAACTGCAAATATACTGCCTGAAGTGAGATACATTAAAAATGTACATAATTGACATGGAGTTGGATTCTAAGTGACTTCAAATCAAAACAGAAACTGAGATCTACGTTTTTTTCATCCAGTATCAAATACATAATCCACACCCCTTATGTTTGAATTAGAAATAAAAAATAACAGTATGGTAAACAGTAAAAACAGTCCTTATTAGTTCAACATTATGATTTTCTTAATGATAATATAGGGAAGTTTATTCAAATATGAAGACATTTCTTTCATGAGTACTTATTTCTGTACATTAACGTGTTTGAATTTGTAATTTTTGAAGTAAAAATAGTTTTATAAATTTATTTTTTTTTGTTAACAATAACAATTGTCTTGCACAATCTATCAGTAGTCAATTCATATTTATATGATTGTTCATTTCTTATCTTGGTTATATATAATAAAGCTGAATCAGTCTCTAGTATACATCATGTGGATTAAAATCAATAAATTTAAATATACTATCTAATTGCAGTTCAAAATTCTGGAAGGTCACAGGAAATTGTTTTAATCCTAAAAATAATCTTCCTGATATAGGTACTATCAGATCTGACAAAATATATGACAAACAATTTTTTGACAATGAAATGTCTTCATACAAACAGTGATTTATATTGCCATTATAGGAGAATAATCATTCATACACATATGCCCTCAAATATGATTAAAAATAAACCTGACACTCAAAAATAAGATTGATTTCATTGGTAGTAAACATCATTAATGTATCTCTTGTACACTTAGTCTGCAAGCTTGGTCTACTATTGCGATAAGCAGTAACTTCTGCTACCTCTCCTGCAGCATCAACTAAGTTCACCTTCAAACAAACATCTCTCATTATAATCAGGAGTCTCTACAACTCTACAATATCTTCTTGGCTTGCATTGTTTGCCAAGAGGAAATACCTGAAGCACCTAATGTGCCAGTCTTCATCTTTACAGATATTGATTTTAATTTGTTATCATGCATAAAGAGTATAGTGATCATAAAAGGGACAGCAAGAAAGCTCGCCTAAGAGTCCTGCTCTTTTTGACAGTCTTCTCCAAAACCTCCTATAAAGTTAATTATCTCAAAACTACAAGTTATCTTTTCTCTCTCTCTCGCTTTCTCTCTCTGAATTTCATAGAAAATTACCCAAATCATGCCTTTAAAATTCAGTGGACCATCACTTCTTTTTCCACTAAAATAAAGAGAAACCCAGACAAATTCTAGATCTCATTGTATTTAGAAAAAAATACTTTTTTTGGTTTGTTTGTTTGCCTTTACATGGAATATTGATCTCTTAGCAAAATCTGTCATAGAATATGATTTTGATCCTGATACAAATATATATATAGCAGAGTAAACATATCCTATATTCCTCTTGTAACTCTAAATGAGCAATAAGCAATATCATACCAAGAACAGTTTGTGTTAATTAATGCTGACACATTTCACTTCATTCATAAAGCCAAACAACAGAGGCATATACAATACCATATAAATAAAACCAGGATTTTATATCACAGTGCCTCAAAGTGACCCATATGCATTACCAAACCACTAAACTTTATTTTACAATGAACTGCAGTGTTGTATTATAAATGTATTGAACTACTTTTACATTTTATGTAACATGAATTTCTTTTCAACCTTATAAATCTAGGTATATAATTTACTAGGATGATATACACTGAAAAAATGTATTGTCCATTACTTGGAGTGCAAAGCTCAGTGAAAATGAAAATCATATGAATGTAATCAAACAACATGCATGAATGAAAGGAAGAAGACACACAAAATCACCATCAAATCTACATACACAACCCAGCCACACAAACAGAGTGTTTTTTGGTACAAATACTGTCAGGTGAAATTTTAATACTTATACCACCCAAATTTGTATCCTCTTTCACGCCCGTGTAACCATAAAATATTTTGGTTTACCTGACCAAATGATTATATATACATGCATACGTACATGCACACACATACATGTATGTATATATTTATTCATATTTTTTATTATTTTTGTTTACTAAGGAGTAACTTTTTGACATACATTAAAAAAAAGAGGGTTTAAGTTTTTATACCTGCTACAAATAATTCTTGCAGCCAAATGAACTTTTATTAATACTGACTTGAAAAACAATAAAGTATTGTTATTGTTGCTCTACTTGATTTACATAATAGTTCATTAAGATACCCTGTAATGAATTTTAAAACATGCAGAGTTTACTTTATCTATTTTTATGTTAATTTACATGGACAGAACCATGAAATTATTCACACATACAAACATGCAATCAGACATATATGCACACCTTTAGCAATGTTTTTGATGGTCCTGCATTCCAAATAAATTAAGTAATGTGATCTTGAGAGGAAATGGAGAAAGAAAATTTATTTTTTAAACAATATATTCTTTAGAAATTAATGATATTGCACAACATGAATAATGGAAGAAACTAAACATTAAATACAACATAACTGTAATCTTAGTGAATTTTTCATATTTTACAACCAACAAGGTTTTTAAGTATATAGAGCATAGCACCCTGTTGCTTATACTTTCCTTGTATTTTTTTCAATGCAAGTTTATAAGTCCATATACTTATTTTCAAGTATTTATAAACTTATTTATCACATATCTGGCACAAACAGTATAGCCAGATGAAACCTTTATATATGAACATGGAAATATTCACAGAAATATGCAATGGTAACTCTGCTACAACAAGGCAATTTACAGTTTTGTTTAAATCTTTGGTATATGAAGACCATTGGATCTGTACAGTTTGCTTTACACTATCTTTTTTGTTTAAATAAAAAGCATCCCGACAACACCTGAGGTAAAAGCCTCAAAAAATCAGTAAATCATTGAAGATATACATCAAAATTGATCTATCTTTGTGTAAACAATCTACTGTTAAATCAACATTGAACCATATGGTTAGTTCAAAGATTCAACTTTCACTACAGTTCATCTTGCTCTATAAAATCAGGTGGTAAGGGTGTCCCAATCGTCGTACTACTGCCGTCTGGGGTAACAGACAACTCGTTTGACGTCGCACATGCGGGTGTTGAGAATGTGGAGGGAGTCGGTGGAGGTGTAACTTTCAGAGAGCAGGACGAGTCTGAGGAGGATGAAGTAGATGAGGTGGATGATGTTGACATTGACTTTGAATGTGATGCAAGAGATATTGTTGGGATGGGGTCAGCAACATTTTTATCTTCAATGCAGAAGGTGGAAGAGTTCACCATTGATCTCTCAGGCGTTGGGGAGCATGATTCTACTGTCCATTCTGTTGATAAATCTCCACCTTGGAGTTCTCTACTCTGTGACTCCATCATCCCATTGACATGATGTTCCTCTGGATCTTCTCCATTGACTTTTGAAAATGAACTTTGCATTGCTGACAAGGAACACTCTGCAGTTGGCTTTGATTGCTCTGCTGTGGCGGCAGAATCTTCTGTGGCTGGCACCGATCCCTCTGCCATGCAATCAGAATCCTCTGCACTGAATCTGCAGCTCTCTTCAGCAGGCATGGAAGACTCGGCAGGTAACGAGGGTGGCACTTGTGGGGGTGGTGGGGTTCCCTCTGATGATGTGTTCCCTGGTGTGGGGTCCCCTGAGGCTGTCCCCCTGCTGGGTGTGGCCTGGGAATGTGTAGGGGAGCCTCT